GTTGTGCTTTCTGTAGTTGTAGTATCGGTTGTGATGCTTTCAGTTTTTGTTGAAGTTTCTGCTGTTGAACTTTTTGAAGTTGTGGTACCAGTGGTGGTGCTTTCTGTTGTTGTAGTATCCATTGTGGTGCTGTCTGTTGTTATTGTGGTCTCTGCTGTTGTACTTTCTAGAGGGGTGGTACCGGAGGTGGTACTTTCTGTTGTCGTAATGTCCGTTGTTGTACTTTCTGTTGTTGTGGACTCTGTGGTAGTACTTTCTGGAGTCGTGGTGCCAGTGGTTGCACTTTCTGTTGTGGTGGTCTCCATTGTGGTGCTTTCTGGAGTCGTGGTGCTTTCTGTTGTTGTAGTGTCCATTGTGGTGCTTTCTGCTGTTGTGGTCTCTGTTGTGCTTTCTGTAGTTGTAATATCTGTTGTGGTGCTTCCTGTTGTTGTGGTTTCAGTTGTTGTACTTTCTGTTGTTGTAATGTCTGCTGTTGTTCTTTCTGGAGTTGTGGTACCAGTGGTTGTACTTTCTATCATTGTAGTGGTTTCTGTTGTTGTTTCAGTTGTGCTGCTTTCTTTTGTTGTTGAAGTGTCTGTTGTTGTACTCTCTGGAGCTGTGGTAACGGTGGTGGTACTTTCTGATGTTGTAGTGTCCTTTGTTGTGGATTCCACTCTTGTACTTTCTGGAGTTGTGGTACCAATGGTAGTGATTTCTGTTGTTGATGTACTTTCTGTTGTTGTGGATTCAGTTGTGCTTTCTGTAATTGTACTGTCTGCTGTTGTACTTTCTGGTGTTGTGGTACCGGAGGTTGTACTTTCTGTTGTTATCTCAGTTGTGATGCCTTCAGTTGTTGTTGAAGTTTCTGCTGTTGTACTTTCTAAAGTTGTGGTACCGGTGGTGGTGCTTTCTGTTGTTGTAATATCGATTGTGGTGCTGTCTGTTGTCATGGTTGTCTCTTCTGTTGTACTTTTTAGAGTGGTGGTAACAGTGGTGGTACTTTCTGTTGTTGTAATGTCCGTTGTGGTGCTTCCTGTTGTTGTGGTCTCTGTGGTACTACTTTCTGGAGTTGTGGTGCCAGTGGTCTTACTGTCTTTTGTGGTGGTCTCCATTGTGGTGCTTTCTGGAGTCGTGGTTCTTTCTGTTGTTGTAGTGTCCATTGTGGTGCTGTCGGTTGTTGTGGTGCTTTCTGCTGTTGTTGTCTCTTTTGTTGTACTTTCTGTTATTGTTGTACTTTCTGATGTTGTGGTTTCAGTTGTGCTTTCTTTAGTTGTAGTATCTGTTGTTGGGCTTTCTGTTGTTGTAGTGTCTGCTGTTGTACTTTCTGGAGTTGTGGTACCAGTGGTTGCACTTTCTGTCATTGTTGATGTTTCAGTTATGGTGCCTTCTGTTGTTGTACTTTCTGGAGCTGTGGTAACGGTGGTGGTACTTTCTGATGTTGTAGTGTCTGTTGTTGTGGTTTCCACTGTTGTACTTTCTGGAGTTGTGGTGCCAATGGTAGTGGTTTCTGTTGTTGATGTACTTTCTGTTGTTGTGGATTCAGTTGTGCTTTCTGTAGTTGTAGTATCTGTTGTGGTGGTTTCTCTTGTTGTACTTTCTGTTGTTGTAGTGTCTGCTGTTGTACTTTCTGTAGTTGTGGTACCGATGGTGGTGCTTTCTGTTGTTTTAGTATCCATTGTGGTGCTTTCTGTTGTTGTAATTTCTAGAGCTGTGGTACCGGTGGTACTTTCTGATGTTGTCATGTCTGTTGTTGTGGTTTCCATTCTTGTACTTTCTGGAGTTGTGGTACTGATGGTGATACTTTCTGTTGTTGTCCTACCTTCTGTTGTTGTGGTCTCAGTTGTGCTTTCTGGTATTGTGGTGCCAGTGGTGGGTATTTCTGATGTTGTGGTCTGTGTGGTAGTACTTTCTGAAGTGGTGGTGCCTTCTGTTGTTGTGATCTCTGTTGCGGTGCCAGTAGTGGTACTTTCTATCGTTGTGGTCTCTGTTGTTGTCCCGGGGGTGGTACTTTCTATTGTTGTGGTCTCCGTTGTTGTACTTTCTGGAGTAGTGGTTCCAGTGGTTGTACTTTCTAACTCTGTTGTGCTATCTGCAGTTGTAGAACCAGTGGTGGTGCTTTCTGTTGTTATGGTGTCTGTTGTAGTGCCTGTGATGGTACTTTCTATTGTTGTGGTCTCGGTTGTTGTGCTTTCTGGTGTTGTGGTACCTGTAGTGGTGCTTTCTGTTGTTGTAGTGTCTGTTGTGGTACTTTCTGTAGTTGTTGTTTCCATTGTTGTACTTTCTGAAGTTGTAATACCAGGGGTGGTACTTTCTGTTCTAGTGCTTTCTGTTGTTGTACTTTTTGGAGTAGTGGTGCCAGTGGTTGTACTTTCTAACACTGTTGTGCTTTCTGGAGTTGTAGAAGCAGTGGTGGTGCTTTCTGTTGTTATGGTGTCTGTTGTGGTGCCTGTGGTGGTGCCTGAGTTAGTACTTTCCATTGTTGTGGTCTCAGTTGTTGTGCTTTCTGGTGTTGTGGTACCTGTGGTGGTGCTTTCTGTTGTTGTAGTGTCTGTTGTGCTGCTTTTTGTAGTTGTTGTTTCCATTGTTGTACTTTCTGAAGTTGTAATGCCAGGGGTGGTACTTTCTGTTGTAGTGCTTTCTGTTGTTGTACTTTCTGAAGTGGTGGTGCCTTCTGTTGTTGTGGTACCAGTGGTGGTACTTTCTACTGTTGTGGTCTCTGTTGTTGTCCCGGGGGTGGTACTTTCTGTTGTTGTGGTCTCCGTTGTTGTACGTTCTGGAGTAGTAGTGCCAGTAGTTGTACTTTCTAACTCTGTTGTGCTTTCTGGAGTTGTAGAACCAGTGGTGGTGCTTTCTGTTGTTATGGTGTCTGTTGTGGTGCCTGTGGTGATACTTTCTATTGTTGTGGTCTCAGCTGTTGTGCTTTCTGGTATTGTGGTACCTGTGGTGGTGCTTTCTGTTGTTGTAGTGTCGGTTGTGGTACTTTCTGTTGTAGATCTTTCTGATGTTGTACTTTCTGAAGTGGTGGTTCCAGTGGTTGTACTTTCTGTCATTGTGGTTCTTTCTGGAGTTGTGGTACTGGTGGTGGTGCTTTCTGTTGAGGTCTCTGCGGTAATACTTTCTGTAATGGTGGTGCCTTCTTTTGTTGTGATCTCAGTTATGGTGGTACTTTCTGTTGTTGTGGTCTCTGTTGTTGTACTTCCTGGAGTAGTGGTGTCAGTGGTTGTACTTTCTAACACTGTTGTGCTTTCTGGAGTTGTAGAATCAGTGGTGGTGCTTTCTGCAGTTATGGTCTCTGTTGTGGTGCTTTCTATTGTTGTGGTCTCAGTTGTTGTACTTTCTGGTGTTGAGGTACCTGTGGTGGTGCTTTCTGTTGTTGTAGTGTCTGTTGTGGTGCTTTTTGTAGTTGTTGTTTCCATTGTTGTACTTTCTGAAGTGGTGGTGCCAGTGGTTGTACTTTCTGGTGTTGAGGTACCTGTGGTGGTGCTTTCTGTTGTTGTAGTGTCTGTTGTGGTGCTTTTTGTAGTTGTTGTTTCCATTGTTGTACTTTCTGAAGTGGTGGTGCCAGTGGTTGTACTTTCTGGTGTTGAGGTACCTGTGGTGGTGCTTTCTGTTGTTGTAGTGTCTGTTGTGGTGCTTTTTGTAGTTGTTGTTTCCATTGTTGTACTTTCTGAAGTGGTGGTGCCAGTGGTTGTACTTTCTGTCATTGTGGAGCTTTCTGGAGTTGTGGTACCAATGGTTGTGCTTTCTATTGTTGTGGTCTCTGTGGTAGTACTGTCTGGAGTCGTGGTCCCTTCTGCTGTCGTGAGCTCTGTTGTGGTGCCAGTCGTGGTACTTTCTATCGTTGTGGTCTCGGTTGTTGTCCCGGGGGTGGTACTTTCTGTTGTTGTGGTCTCCGTTGTTGTACTTTCTGGAGTATTGGTGCCAGTGGTTGTACTTTCTAAAACGGTTGTGCTTTCTGGAGTTGTAGAACCAGTGATGGTGGTTTCTGTTTTTATGATATCTGTTATGGGGCCTGTGGTGGTATTTTCTATTGGTGTGGTCTCGGTTGTTGTGCTTTCTGGTGTTGTGGTACCTGTAGTGGTGTTTTCTGTGGTTGTAGTGTCTGGTGTGGTGGTTTCTGTAAATTTGGATTCCATTGTTGGACTTTCTGAAGTTGTAATACCAGTGGTGGTACTTTCTGTTGTTGTACTTTCTGTCATTGTGGTGCTTTCTGAAGTTGTGATACCGGTGTTAGTGCTTTCTGTTGTTGTGATCTCTGTGGTAGTATTTTCTGTAGTGGTGGTTCCTTCTGTTGTTGTGCTCTCAGTTGTGGTGGTACTTTCTATTGTTGTGGTCTCTGTTGTTGTCTCGGGGGTGGTACTTTCTGTTGTTGTGGTCTCTGTTGTTGTACTTTCTGGAGTAGTGGTGCCAGTGGTTGTACTTTCTAACACTGTTGTGCTTTCTGGAGTTGTAGAACCAGTGGTGGTGCTTTCTGTTGTTATGGTCTCTGTTGTGGTGCCTGTGGTGGTGCTTTCTATTGTTGTGGTCTCAGTTGTTGTGCTTTCTGGTTTTGTGGTACCTTTGGTCGTGCTTTCTGTTGTTATAGTGTCTGTTGTGGTGCTTTCTGTAGTTATGGTATCGTCTGTATTTGTGGTTTCCATTGTTGTACTTTCTGAAGTTGTAATTCCAGGGGTGCTGCTTTCTGTTGTTGTGGTCTCTGTTGTGTAGGTGCCACTGGTTGTACTTTCTGTCATTGCGGTGCTTTCTGGAGTTGTGGTACCAGTGGTGGTGGTTTCTGTTGTTGTGGTCTCTATAGTACTACTTTCTGTAGTGGTGGTTTCTTCTGTTGTGATCTCAGTTGTGGTGGCATCTTCTGTTGTTGTGGTCTGCTTTTTTGTACTTTCTGGAGTGGTGGTGCCAGTGGTTGTATGTGCTGTCATTGTGGTGCTTTCTGTTGTTGTGTTATCTATGGTAGTACTTTCTGTAGTGGTGGTGCCTTCTGTTGTTGTGAACTCAGTTGTGCTGGTACTTTCTGTTGTTGTGATCTCCATTGTTGTACTTTCTGGTGTGGTGGTGCCAGTGGTAGTACTTTCTGTAGTGGTGGTGCCTTCTGTTGTTGTGGTCTCAGTTGTTGTGCTTTCTGGTGTTGTGGTATCTGTGGTGGTGCTTTCTGTTTTTGTAGTGTCTGTTGTGGTGCTTTCTGTAGTTGTGGTTTCCATTGTTGTACTTTCTGAAGTTGTAATTTCAGGGGTTGTGCTTTCTGTTGTTGTGGTCTCTGTTGTTGTACTTTCTGAAGTGGTGGTGCCACTGGTTGTACTTTCTGTCATTGCGGTGCTTTCTGGAGTTGTGAAACCAGTGGTGGTGCTTTCTGTTGTTGTGGTGCCAGTGGTTGTACGTTCTGTCATTGTGGTGCTTTCGGGTGTTGTGGTACCAGTGGTGGTGCTTTCTGTTGTTGTGATCTCCATTGCTGTACTTTCTGGGGTGGTGGTGCCAGTGGTAGTACTTTCTGTAGTGGTGGTGCCTTCTGTTGTTGTGATCTCAGTTGTGGTGGTACTTTCTGTTATTGTGGTCTGTGTTGTTGTAGTTTCTGAAACGGTTGTGCCTGTGGTTGTATTTTCTAACATTGTGGTGCTTTCAGGAGTTGTGGTAGCAATAGTGGTGCTTTCTGTTTTTGTGGTCTCCGTTGTTGTACTTTCTGGAGTGGTGGTGCCAGTGGTTGTAATTTCTATCATTGTGGTGCTTTCTAGAGTTGTGGTACCGATGGTGGTACTTTCTGTTGTTGTGGTCTCTGTGGTAATATTTTCTGGATTGGTAGTGCCTTCTGTTGTAGTGATCTCTGTTGTGGTTCCATTGGTGGTACTTTCTATTGTTATGGCCTTGGTTGGTGTGCCGGTGGTAGTACTTTCTGTTGTTGTGGTTTCCATTGGTGTACTCTCTGTAGTGGTGGTACCAGTGGTTGTACTTTCTGTCATTGTGGGGCTTTCTGGAGTTGTGGTACCGGTGATGGTGCTTTCTGTTGTTGTGGTCTCTGTGGTAGTACTTTCCGGAGTGGTGGCTCCTTCTGTTGTTGTGATCTCAGTTGTGGTGACTGTGGTGGTACTTTCTGTTGTTGTGGTCTCGGTTGTTGTCCCGGGGGTGGTACTTTCTCTTGTTGTGGTCTCTGGTGTTGTACTTTCTGAAGTTGTTGTGCCAGCAGTTGTACTTTCTGTCATTGTGGTGCTTTCTGGAGTTGTGGTATCGATCGTGGTGCTTTCTGTTGTTGTAATCTCTGTGGTAGTACTTTCTGGAGTGGTTGTGGCTTCTGTTGGTGGGGTTACAGTTTTGTGGTCCTCTCTGGAGTTGTAGTACCAGTTGTGGTGCTTTTTGTTGTTGTGGTCTCGGTTGTTGTGCTTTCTGGTGTTGTGGTATCTGTGGTGGTGCTTTCTGTTTTTGTAGTGTCTGTTGTGGTGCTTTCTGTAGTTGTGGTTTCCATTGTTGTACTTTCTGAAGTTGTAATTTCAGGGGTTGTGCTTTCTGTTGTTGTGGTCTCTGTTGTTGTACTTTCTGAAGTGGTGGTGCCACTGGTTGTACTTTCTGTCATTGCGGTGCTTTCTGGAGTTGTGAAACCAGTGGTGGTGCTTTCTGTTGTTGTGGTGCCAGTGGTTGTACGTTCTGTCATTGTGGTGCTTTCGGGTGTTGTGGTACCAGTGGTGGTGCTTTCTGTTGTTGTGATCTCCATTGCTGTACTTTCTGTAGTGGTGGTGCCTTCTGTTGTTGTGATCTCAGTTGTGGTGGTACTTTCTGTTATTGTGGTCTGTGTTGTTGTAGTTTCTGAAACGGTTGTGCCTGTGGTTGTATTTTCTAACATTGTGGTGCTTTCAGGAGTTGTGGTAGCAATAGTGGTGCTTTCTGTTTTTGTGGTCTCCGTTGTTGTACTTTCTGGAGTGGTGGTGCCAGTGGTTGTAATTTCTATCATTGTGGTGCTTTCTAGAGTTGTGGTACCGATGGTGGTACTTTCTGTTGTTGTGGTCTCTGTGGTAATATTTTCTGGATTGGTAGTGCCTTCTGTTGTAGTGATCTCTGTTGTGGTTCCATTGGTGGTACTTTCTATTGTTATGGCCTTGGTTGGTGTGCCGGTGGTAGTACTTTCTGTTGTTGTGGTTTCCATTGGTGTACTCTCTGTAGTGGTGGTACCAGTGGTTGTACTTTCTGTCATTGTGGGGCTTTCTGGAGTTGTGGTACCGGTGATGGTGCTTTCTGTTGTTGTGGTCTCTGTGGTAGTACTTTCCGGAGTGGTGGCTCCTTCTGTTGTTGTGATCTCAGTTGTGGTGACTGTGGTGGTACTTTCTGTTGTTGTGGTCTCGGTTGTTGTCCCGGGGGTGGTACTTTCTCTTGTTGTGGTCTCTGGTGTTGTACTTTCTGAAGTTGTTGTGCCAGCAGTTGTACTTTCTGTCATTGTGGTGCTTTCTGGAGTTGTGGTATCGATCGTGGTGCTTTCTGTTGTTGTAATCTCTGTGGTAGTATTTTCTGGAGTGGTTGTGGCTTCTGTTGGTGGGATCACAGTTGTGGTGCTACTTTCTGTTGCTGTGCTCTCTGTTATTGTACTTTCTGGGGTGGTGGTGCCAGTGGTTGTACTTTCTATCATTGTGGTATTTTCTGGAGTTGTGGTACTGGTGGTGGTGCTTTCTGTTGTTGTGGTCTCTGTGGTAGTACTGTCTGGAGTGGTGGTCCCTTCTGTTGTTGTGATCTCAGCTGTGGTGCCTGTTGTGGTACTTTTTATTGTTGTGGTTTCCATTGTTGTGCCTGCAGTTGTACTTTCTATTTCTGTGGACTTAGTTGTTATGCTTTCTGGTGTTGTGGTCTCTGTTGTTGTAATTTTTGAAGTTGTAGTACGAGGGGATTCTGATGTTGTGGTCTCGGTTGTTGTGCTTTCTTGTGTGGTGGTGATGCTTGTTGTTGTGGTCTCTGAGGCAATACTTTCTGCAGTAGTGGCACCATTGGTCTTACTTTCTGCCATTGCGGTCTCTGTTGCTGCACTGACTGGAGTTGTGGTGATAGTAGTTGTGCTTTCTGATGTTGTGGTCTCTGTGGTAGTACTTCCTGGAGTGGTCATGCCAGAGGTTGTACTTTCTCTGTTGGTAGTGCTGTCTGTTGTTGTGATATCGGTTGTGGTGCCTGTGGTAGTACTTTCTGTTGTTATGGTGCCAGTATAGGTGCTATCTGTTGTTGTAGTCTGTGTTGGTGATATTTCGGGAGTTGTGGTGCTGCTGCTTATTGTTGTGGTCTCCTTTGTGGAACTTTCTGGAGTTATGGTGCTGCGGTTTGTTGTTGCGGGCTCTGTGGTAGTACTTTCTGCATTATCAGTGGCCAAGATTGTTGTTTCTATTAATGTGGTTTTTATATTTGAGGTTGTTTCTATCAAGATAGTAGTATAGGAAATGCTGTTGTTCCAGATATCTGAAAAATAATAATAACAATAATAATAATAATTTAAACAAGATACATTTAAATACATATATAGTGGTGCCCAAAATGATTAGAACACTAGTATTTTCACCAGCTAAAAAATAGTTTTAAGTCAGTTATTTCTATCTTTTGCTGTAGTGTGTCAGTAGGAAATATCAGTTTACATTTCCAAACATTTATTTTTCCATTAATTGTAATAATCCAGTGAGATTTTTGTACATGGAGTCTGACAACAGCCAGAGCTCCACACAAAGATCTGATCCCATCATCATCCAGTCTGTCTGGAATGAAATGAAGAAACAGAACAAACTGAGACAGACTAAAATCCAGAAGAACTGTGGCAATGTCTCCAAGATGCTTCAAGAAACCTACCTGCAAAGCTGCAGTACTGTTAAAAGTTTTAGGCTCTTGTGTAAAACTGCTGTAAAATGAGTTAACTTCTATTAACTAAATTAAACATTTGGTGTGAGCATCCTTTGCGTTTAAAGCAGCTTAAGCCCTAAGTGCACTTGCGCATAGTTTTTCGGGTAGCTTTGCAGGTAGGTCTCTTGGAGCATCTTGGAGATGTTGCCACAGTTCTTCTGGATTTAGTCTGTCTCAGTTTGTTCTGTTTCTTCATGCCATTCCAGACAGACTGGATCATAATGAGATCAGATCTCTGTGTAGAGCACTGGCTGTTTTCAGACTCCTTGTGTAAACAAAAATCTCACTGGATTATTACAATTAATGGCAAAATGAATGTTAGGAAATTTAAAGTGTTTTTTTTTTTGTTTTTTTTTACAGATTTCAGTGTCAAACTAGTTTAATAGAAAGCAGTAATTACAAATCCATCTATTTATCTATACATGCAATAAATCCTACAGATTCCAACTCAGCACAATACATTACCAGTAAAGTCCATTGTTGTAGTGGCTGCTGTTGAGGTTTTCATTGGTGTGACAGTAGTATAGGTAGTGTTTATGTTCGCTACAGCTGAAAAACATTGATACATTTTATGTCAACAACGATCCAATTATGACTTAGATATACAAAGGTAAAATGCAAATGTATTTACCTGCGCAGTATGCCAAAGAGCAGAAAGCAGGTTTCACAAACTCATAAACAAAATAATTGCCTGGACAGGCTTTGACTTTAATGGGATTGGAGTTGAAATAGCAGCAGTTATTGTCCCAATGACCACAGACATCTCGAGTGACCACTCCATCCTCAACTACTGGATGTCCTCCATTCAGCCAGAGTGGGGAATGAGTGCCACAACTGTACTCATCAACACATGTGTCTGGCATCTGAACGCTCTGACCCTGAATGAAGAGACGGTACCAGCCATTCCAGCTAACTTCACAGTCACACATTATTTCAGAGGTATATTGATTGTTGGTGGCTCTCCATGGATCATCTAGCACATTGTAGTTGTTGCAGGGGTCAACAAGAGGAACAACTGTTACAGAAAAATGGAAATAATGTTTATTTTTATATGTTATATACTTTTTACTGTTGGATAGTTACAGTATGAAATAATTACTTTCAAAGCTTAAATCAGTTTTTGAGTCTAAGCATCTTTTTATTTGTGTTAAAAGGGGATAAGCAGCAAACCTGGAGTTTATACTTGAAAGATGATTACTATTAGTTTAACGTTGGCAAGAATGCTTTCAATACACACTATGCTACTTATTTGTTATAACTGATTTGAATATGCTGGTCTGTAAGCCAGTTTGCCTTTTTCAACAATTCACAGAGTGCATATTTTAGTCATAATGTTTATGTTTTTATTGTTTTCCAACACTGAACTACAGACATTTATTTATTTATTTATTATTTTTTTATTATTTTTTTGGCACTGATTAACAGACAAAGAAAAACTGTCAAATTTTACTGCTCAATATATATATATCTATTGTAAATATAAAACACAAAATAATTGATTGCATATGTATGTACCCAATTTGAGTCAGTATTAAGTAGGTGAACCTTTAACAACATTACAGCTTTGTGTAGGTAAATTTTGCCGGGTTGCATAGAGATTTGGAATTGATTGACTTTTTAAAACCATGCATGAATTCTACAGCAAGTTTAATGTGAGATCAGACCTCTGACTTGGTCAATCCAAGATATTAATATTGTTGTTATTGTTTTTGCCCATCCTATTCTGTGTAGTTCTGGCTTTTTTAATGCCTTGTCATGCCTTGTGCTTTTAAATTAGTTTTAGCAAAGCTGCAAGGTTCTTTTTTCTTCATTATGTAAATTGTGCCAAAATACTCACTAGCTACAATCAGATGAAACTCCCTGACTACACAGAGGTTCTCTAAAACATATTATTTATGTGACTGAAACTAATCAGCTTCACCAGTCAGTGATGAATGAAGTGTCAACTCAAGTTTAGTTTAGATTTTATATTTGTAATTAAAAAAAAAACTTTTTGTAGAGATCGGTTTTCACTTTAAAGGGATAGTTCATCCAAAAATGAAAATTGTGTCATTAATTACTCACCCTCATATCATTCGAAAACCATAAGATCAGAAAATAAATTTACATAATTTTGATGAAATCCAAGAGCTTTCTGACCCCTGCATAGACAGCAACTGAAACGTTTCCAGGCCCAGAAATGTAGTAAGGACATAGTTAAACTAGTCCACGTGACATCAGTGGTTAAACTGTAATTTAACGAAGCTACGAGAATACTTTTTTGTGTGACCAGAAAACATAAATAACGACTTTATACAATAATTTTTCTCCTCAGCGTCATTGTCCGCCACCATTCACGAGAGTATCATGAGAGAGCATCCGTGTGCATTCCTCTGCTTGTAAACATACCGCATGCATGTTCTACGTCAGCAGCACCACACACGTGTGTCATGGTACTCTCATGAATGGTGGCGGACGGTGACACAGATTAGAAGAATTGAAGAAAAAAAATCATTATTTTTTTTTTCTTTGCGCACAAAATGTATTCTCGTAGCTTCTTAAAATTGCAGTTGAACCACTGATGTCACATGGGCTATTTTAACAATGTCCTTACTTTCTGTGCCTTGATCGTGGTAATAACCTGTCTATGGAGGGTCAGAGAGCTCTCGGATTTCATCAAAAATATCTTAATTTGTGTTCTGAAGATGAACGAAGGTCTTACAGGTTTGGAACGACATGACGATGAGTAATTAATGTCACAATTTTCATTTTTGGGTGAACTATCCCTTTTAGGCTGATGATACATGGGGCAACATTTTGAGCAATGTTGCCTGGGCAACTTTGGGCAATGTTGCTGTCAACGAGCAACCAAGTGAGACACAGGGCCCACAACCGATCTAAATTATCCAGATAGAAATTTGTTACCCATTCTCAATGGGAAAATACCCAAGCAACATTGCTCAAAAAAGTTGCCCAGCAAAACTGCTCAAAAAGTTGCCCTGTACTTTCTATCCATACTGTCTTTTTTATTCAGAACCACCTGTTAAAGTAAAACCAACAGCAATCTATAGTCTACCTTTATGGGCAGCAACAATGCAAAAGTAACAATAATTTTAGATGCAACAATGTATATATTTTACATAGCTTTTAAAAATATGTTTAAACTTTGTAATATTTTTCTTACATTTTTTTTAAAGGGGTCATATGATGCTGCTAAAAAGAACATTATTTTGTGTATTTGGTGTAATGAAATGTGTTTATGCGGTTTAAGGTTCAAAACACACATTATTTTCCACATACTGTACATTATTGTTTCTCCTCTATGCCCCGCCTTTCTGAAACACGTTGATTTTTACAAAGCTCGTCTGAAAAGCGAGGTGTGCTCTGATTGGCCAGCTATCCAGTGCGTTGTGATTG